GGAGGCCGGGCCGGCGGCCCGCAGGGCCCGGCCTCAGCGCTGCCTCCTGGCGCCCAGCGGCCCCGGGCACCGGCGGGGCGGGCAGTGCCGGGGCCGCGGGGTGGGGGTAGGAACGCACCCACCTCGCTCGACGGTCCGTCTGCCAGGAGCTGCGTGCCGGCTGTCCCCGGAGTCTCTGCTCGGCCTCCCTGGAGGGGCTCTTGAGGAAGCCAGCCATTCCCGACCCCCTCCCCTTTTCCTTCGCAGGCCCAGGGTGTCGGGGCGCCTGGAGTCGGGTCCCGCAGAGGAGGGATGGGGAACGAGCCGAGGAGCGGGGTGGATTCCCCGGTGACAGGCCCGCCTTTACCCCAGCCTGTCAGAGCAGCTCTGGGCACTGCGCGCTCTGCGGGGGCCTGTGCAGGTAGAAAGCTGCCTGGTAAACGTAGCAGACCTTCCAAGGGTTCTCCACGGAGCCCTTCACCAAAGACTTCCCGCTCATCTTGGCTGCAATGAGGTGGAAAGCTGCACCATCTTTTGCGCTGGCCGAAGGAAAGCATGTCGAAGGATTCTCCGCTGTCCATACGGTTCATCTGCTAGAAGGATCCTTTCAGGAGCTGGAGTCTTTTCAGGCTGTCTCCAGGAAAAGGGAATGAGTAATGAAATGATGGAGTTTGGTGACCCACAGGCTTGTTCTGGGTAGCCAGGCTGAAAGCTGGCTGCAAGAAGCAGCAGAGGGGTGGTAACAGCTCTGGGTGACAAAGCAGCAGGTGACACACTCTATCAATAAACACAAAGTAGTTTTCGGGTAGGGGGGAGAAGGAGAGCCCTCAGGAAACGATCTTGGGGCCATGGTGGATAGTCCTCAGAAATGACAGCTGAGGAGCCAGCATGGGCGAAAATGCAAAGGAATGCCAGGAATTAGTGGATAAAGAAGGGAAGACAGAAAACAGCCAAAATACATATGGAGGCCTCCATCAAGGTGGTATTCTAGGAGGTTGAACAAATTGAGGGAACGTGGGGAATTTAAGGACTGTGGAACGTTCATAGACACCATGGGCCATTGTGGTAAAACCTGCCATTTTGCATTTTTCATAGGATCCCCAGAGATTTTACGGGAAGGACAGGATAGACACCGAAGCACAGCCAGCAAGAGCACAGGGATGCAGAGGAGAACTGAACTTTTCAGTCGCTAACACCAGCAGGTATTTGACTGAGAAAAGGCAGATCCCTGCCAGTGTGGCAGGGTTTGGGAGCAACACAGCTGTCTATAGGCTGTTACTGTCAGGAGGGTTTGGTTGCAGACCAAAACTATTTATTTTGAGTCCTCCTTGCCATTGCTGTCATTGTTTTCACTGCATTGAAAGGTGAAGAGGAGAGCTTTACAGTTTCACGGGCAGGGGTGCAGCAGTAACTGGCTGTTAGAATGTGTTATCTGCCCAGTCTTCACAGGCTGCCCAGAGCGTCCCGCATCCAGCACATCTTTTGCTGCCCAGCTGCAGAAAGATACAGGCAAAATTCTTGAAACATCATTCCAGCTCGTTTTCTGTTTGGAAGTCTTTTTAGTCATCCTGAAGAAACAGTTGCTAGTAGAGGAGGAAATAGCCTTAATTAATTATGCATTTTCTACCCAGTTCGTTGGGTTTTTTATCAAACTATTTGAAGGTGATCGTATATTCCAAAATGTGACCACAACCCCAAGTTAAGATTTCCTGAGGTGGAAAGATGGCCCAAGGCCTTTGAAGGTTCTTCCTGAACAGAGACAACAGGATTCCCATCTGCTGCTATTTTGGTTGCCAGCTCCTTGTATTCCCTGAAAGCTAAAAATAAAAATCTGTTTCCTGTGAATCCCTTTTTTTTTTTTTTTGGAGTGAGGCAGGTTTGTCAATGCTTTCTTTAAAGAAATTGACATGATAAGCATAGAAGTGACAAAACACATGGCTATTTTACTGTATTTGGAAGAAACCCAGAGTCTGCTTTGATTTAAGAATTCTTTAAGAATCCATACAGTAACAATTTTGGATCTGACAGTCATATTTCAGTCATTCAGCAATACCAATTTGGAGCAAATACTGCAGCATACACTGGACATGGCGTTGGAGAATTTCCTGTCTCAAACCTGTAGAAAATTAGCAGGTTGAAGTTTAGAGGTTAAGGATTAATTCTCAGCTGCTGTTGTAGAGGTCCATCCTACTCTTTCTTCTACTGGAGTCTCTTGAGCAGAGTAGAATCTAAAAACAAAATCATGTACCTACTGTGGTGCCTTTTTGTTAGAAACACCATTTGCCATCTTTGGGTTGGGCATTAGATCCACCTCCTTAAAAGCTGCCATACATCTGGGGGGAGCATGTGTCACCTTTTCCTCACATTCTGGGCTATTTCTTGGCAACGTTTGCCTGACAGTCCTGATATTTCATAAATAAAACTGAAGGACATGCTATGGCCCCTCAGCTACCACAGCTGGAGGTCTGCTGCTCTGTGCACACTTTCTTAGCCCGGGCTCTTCAGCAGTGCCCGCTCTGCACTGGCCTCTAAGCCAAGTGCTGGGTGTCTACACCAACAGCAAATCCCTTAAATCCTCAGGAGCCTAAGTACATTTTCCTCCCAGCTTCGTTGTTCCAGTTTTTGGTTTAACCTTTTAGTTTAATACATGCTATTTGCCACAAAAACCGCCTTCAGCAGTAGAAAATTATTTATAAATGGCCCACCTATCTCTTTAGATACATCAAGAGGTTTTCACAGTTCCTCAGAATGAAAAACCACCTGTGAACACAGTTCCCTGCCTCTGTTTACCAGGGGCTTTCAAGTGCTTTGTGGTTCAGCCTCCTTCCAGACCACCGTACTTGTCAGATTTGTTTCTTCTCAAGGACCATGCTCCTTTGCTTCTACCAGTTTGCTCTTCTTTTGAAGAGCGTGGCAGATGTTTATCTCCTGTTTTTATGATGACTTTCATTTTCACCTGCCTTGCTGCAGCAATAACTGCATCCTCTCAGCTTCACTGAACCCGATGCCCGTTGTGATCATTGCCCCCACGGCGTGCGGTCCGGAGGAGATGATGCCATCTGTGGTTTCTCCCTGAAGGAGGCACGCTGGCCTTCAGAAGGTGACACAGCCCCTCTATTCCATATTGACGGGCC